TGTTTCAGGGAGATATAAGGGTACCGACATTTTTAAACGGTAAATGCTACATTTGGTCACTGAGATTACTAAATCGTGTCATGTTTAGTCACTAGAAAATTTTAATATCAATTTTGGTCACTCGAATTACTGAAACATGTCACATTTAGTCACTCTCTCGTCAGTTTCCGACCAACTCCATTAATGGAATTGGACGGAAACTAACGGGAGAGTGACTAAATGTGACATGTTTCAGTAATTCGAGTGAACGGAGTTGGACGGAGGCTAACGAGAGAGTGACTAAATGTGACATGTTTCGGTAATTTGAGTGACCAAAATTGATATTAAAATTTTCTAGTGACTAAACATGACACGATTTAATAATCTCAATGACAAAATGTGGCATTTACCCCATTTTTAAATTTCTTTTCTTTTTCTTCTGTTTTTGTTAAAACTAAAAGAGAAAAATGGTAATAGGTGGAAAAAAATCAAAATTTTTAAGTGTTCTGTGCTGATTTGGCAGTGACGTGGCACGTTGACCGTTAGTCAACCCGTTTGACCGTTAGTCAACGCGTTTGACCGTTCAAGTTAACGATCAAACATCGAGTTTGACAAATTTCGTTATTTTGATGTATAGTTTAGGCCAGGATGTTATAGATCGAAAAAATTGACCAAGATATTTATTTTGGTCAAAGTTCAGGCCATACAAATATATTAACCCTTATTTTTATGAAATATGTTTGCTCTCTTTTCTTCAATATATTATTCTATTAACTAGGTGGTATATTCTCGAATTGTGTTTATACATGATCTTCAGAATCATTATTATTTGTGGAGAGAGTCAATAAGTATCTCATATATGTTGAATCACAAATCTAAACCAAACGTATTCACAACTTCTCTCATATGTATTATTAATGTTTGTGCTCGTGTGGAACTCAATATGAAGATGGGGAGGGACATGATAGAGTTGTTATTAGACAGTGTCGATCGTAGTCATTATATTTATAGGAGTATACTGGATGGCTTGATCTACCTGCCTTATAGGTGTCTCGATATTGCTTATGCGATTCAGGTTGTTGCTCAGTTCATATCAGCTTCGCGTACTGTGGAGTTTGGTTTGTTTCATTCTTCTAATGGTAATTTTGTTCTTTGGGGTTTTCATATTTTTTTTTTTTTAACAAAAGATAGCTTGCATTACCAAGAACTCAAGATCACAAACGATTACATCTCCGAATGGAGCCAAACGCAAAAATCGAACCCCTCAATAAGAGCGGGAAACAAAGAAAGGGCTTTCCTAGCCACCCTATGGGCTACCCTATTGTTATCCCTGCCTACAAATCGAAGCTTCTCCCCTAAACCAGCCGCCAGCATTCCTTGAACCTCCTGTAACACAGCACCCCCCCTGGAATCCCACGTACACCCCGCCACCACTTTGTCAATCACGACCTTTGCATCCCCCTGGTAGCAGACATCCTGGATACCCATCGCCCGACACCACAAGATCGCTTCCCGAAGCGCCATCAACTCCACAAGCATTGGGTCAGTAAGACCAGCCAACCCCCTTCCCATCGCCCTGACCACCACCCCATCCGGCCCTTGCAGCACCACCCCAACCGCAGAATGAGATCCCTCGCGCACTGCCCCATCAAAGGAGCACACCCAAGACACATCCTGCGGCCACAGATCCCTCCTACTTACCGCCCCCTGCCTGTGATCCCTGCGGCTCCCTTCCCCCGCACCATTCGCATGCCGCCATTCGTCGACCTGGATACACCATTGGTTACATAAGACCACCCTCTGATATTGGCATCCATCGAAAACAACCCAGTTGCGAGACTTCCACACCCTCCAGAGCATAGAAATGACCCGCATCAGGATCCCCTCATCGGACACCTCGTCCAGCAGCCTACGCACCATCAAGCCCACATTCTCCACTGGCAACCTAGCCCGAACATCCTCCAATCCCGAATCCGCCCACAAATCCCTCGCCACCGGGCAATGGAGGAACAAATGCTCCAAATCCTCCACCTCATGCTAACACACCGGACACCGCTCCTCCACCTCAATGTCTCGCACAAGAAAGGCCTCCACAGTCGGCAAAATCCTGTTCATGACCTGCCACATGAAGAACTTAAGCTTCGGCGGAATTCTGAGATTCCACAACTTCCCCCACAAGACTGGGTCCATCCAAGAAACCTCACACTTGCCCCTCCACTGGCCCTTGTTCAACCTCATCGCTAAACGATACCCTGACTTCACCGTGTACTGCCCGGACCGGTCCTCATGCCAGACAAGCTTATCCCGAATAGGCAATCGAGGGAGGATGATCGCTTTGATTGCCTGTCCCACCTCCGGACTGAAGCAATTTGCCAAGCACTCATCACACCACGTCCCTGGCTCCTCACCCATCAACCCCGATACTGTGGCACCATCCCAGAGATGAGCTGACGCCCGCACCACCGGAGGATTAGGGTGACACTCCGGCACCCAAATGGTTGTTGCAATCTCCACCTCCTCTCCCGTACCCACCTGCCAGCGTAGCCCTGCCTTTAAAAGATTAACACCATGCAGAACGCTCTGCCACCCCCAAGACGGCCTAGATCGAGCGGTGGCCGTCAACAGAGAACCATTCGGGAAATATTTCCCCTTATAGATCCGAGCGAGCAGTGAGTCAGGCTCCTGTATCATCCGCCATCCCACTTTGGCCAGCAGAGCTTGATTAAACTGCTCAAACCGTCGAAAGCCCAGACCCCCTTCATTCTTAGGCTGGCACAGTTTTCGCCATGATCTCCAGTGAATCCTCTCTACCGAACCCCCCCACCAAAACCGCGCCATATATTTATCTAGACGCCTGCACAACGTCACGGGAAGCTTAAAACACGCCATAACATATACCGGCAAAGCAGCCGCCACCGATTTTAGCAGAGTCTCTTTAGCAGCCCAAGACAAGTGACGCTGCTTCCAACCTTTTAACTTCTGCAACATCGTCTCCTCTAGAAATCGGAATGTCTCTGACTTAGATCGAGCAATTAAGGTGGGGAGCCCCAGATACTTATCCTGAACTCCCACCGCCCCCACCCCCAACTTTCCGGCCATGGCGTCACAGTCCTCCTCCGTCACATTCCGGCTAAAGCAAACCGCAGACTTTCCCAGATTCACTCGTTGCCCGCTCAACTCCTCATACTCCCCCAGAACTTGCAGCAGGTTCTCACAATGCGGCATCGATGCTTGCACGAACAAATATGAATCATCTGCAAAGAACAGGTTGGACACCCTGGGCGCTTTCGGGCTAACCCGAACCCCCACCAACCGCCGTTCCACTACTGCTTTTTTTATCAACGCCGTCAAACCTTCCGTGCAGAGAACAAACAAGAGGGGTGACAACGGATCCCCCTGCCTGAGTCCCCTGGTCGGACGAAAGTACCCTGCTGGCATCCCATTCATACATGATCGAGAAGGAGGAGGACGAAACACACTCCTGGATCCATTTGACCCACTGATCACCAAACCCCATTTTCTTCATGAGCGAAAGTAAGAAGGGCCATTCAACCCTGTCATAGGCCTTTTCCATGTCAACCTTCAAGGCCATATAACCCTTCTTCCCTTTCGTCTTAATCTTCAAATAGTGCATGATTTCATGACCAATCAGAACATTATCAACAATTTGTCTCTCCTTGATAAAAGCATTTTGCTCAGGCGAGACCACCGTTGGTAAAATCAGCGCCAACCTATTAGCCAAGATCTTCGAAATAATCTTGTAGATGACCTGACATAGACTGATTGGCCGCAACTGCCGCATCGATTCAACTTCCTCCACCTTCGGAATCAGCGTCACCCAGGTGTGATTAAAGCTCCGAAGGAGCTTACCATTCACAAAAAAGGCCTCCACTGCCTCCACGACCAACTGGCCCACAATATCCCAGTATGCCCGAAAAAACTTAGCCGTGAACCCATCAGACCCCGGCGCCTGCGTAGGACCTATGGAGAAAATCGTACGACGTATCTCCTCGGGCGTAACGGAGGCAACCAGAGCCTGATTCATTTCCGCCGTTACAAGCCTCTCAATAGGCAAATCCGCCACCCTAGCCTCCAGGTTCTCAACCTGGTGTTCCGTCGTAAACAGCTTTTCAAAAAAATCCACCGCCATTTTGCCCTTCTCCGCTTCCTCTTCAACCCACCCCCCCTCCTCATTTCGGAGCTTCTCAATAAAATTCTTCCTACGGCGAGTACGCGTCACCATATGGAAATACGATGAATTGCGATCACCCTCTTTCAGCCACCGGACCCTAGATTTTTGTTTCCAAAAAACCTCCTCCGAGGCCCATTGTCTCCCTAACTCCACCTCCAGCTCCCTAATCGTCTCCCAATCCACCGGATTTCCCCCCCTGAGCGCCTCGATTTCCCCTTGCAGCGAGCGAATATTCCTAGCCGAATTCGACGTCCCCGCCCGCGACCAATCGTACAGCATATGTCGTACCTTTTTGAGCTTCGTCCAGAGTTGAAACATCGGCGAACCCGATTCCACCTGCGCCCAAACATACTCGATCATAAGTCGAACCTCCGGATTTTCTACCCAACGGGCATCAAACCGAAACAGTCTACGGGCCGTTCGTTTAAAAGGCTTATCCGCAATAATGAGCGCCCTATGATCGGATCCAATATCCGTACAATGGAGAACAATCGTATCCGGGAAGGCCTCCATCCAAGCCGCCGAACCAAGGGCACGATCTAAGCGTTTTTGCACACACGCCGCTCCCATTCTTCTATTCGTCCACGTAAACAACGGACCCTGGAAGCTCAAGTCATGAAGCGCCAACGAGTCTACAAAATTACGGAAATCAAGAGATTGGGTCGGCGCCCACGGAATCCCCCCCTCCTTCTCGTTAGAAGAGAGAGTCGAGTTAAAGTCACCCACAATGACAAAGGGTTCCGAAATCCCCTGGCAATAGGCTCGCAGGGCCACCAACTGCCCTCGACGCACTGAATCAACGCAACTAATATAAACACAAACCACCACATACGGAACATCCATATTATTAATCCGAATTGAAATAAAAAACGACGAACTACATAACACCGTAGCACAAATGCTCGGGGACCACCCTACAACTAGGCCGCCAGAAGAATCCACGGCATCGACAAGAAAACACGACTCTAAATCAAACCCCAACCCACGCATACGACGCTTAACAACTTTTCGACGAGACCTGGTCTCCGACAAGAACACCAAATCCGGATTATTGACTCTAATTAAGCCTAACAACGATTGGAACGTTAGGGACGGCCCAATCCCACGCACGTTCCAAGACAGGAGTCTCATTTATCCAACTGGGGCCATTTCGGGCTGGCTACCTCCACCATTTCTTTGTCCTCCTTGTTCGGATTTTCAGCGCACAGTTTCTTCGTGGGTGTTGGATCCTGCGCAAGATCCTCCACCATCTCCACCGATCTCTTTCTCTCTACCAGTTCGTCTTCCGCAATCGCCATCCTGAACACCTCCGACAGCTTGGGGAAATTGGTCCCGTATTCGTCCGTCACTTTTGGTTCGGCATCTAAAACTTCCGGCTTCTCCCCTTCCTCCACCACTCCCGCGACCACCTCATTCTTATCCACCTTTTCCGATTGCAACCCCACCTGTGCTACCGCCTCACCCGCATCCCCAGCCCCAACAAGTGGGGATTTTGGCGAGTCCCCTTTCTTCTCCTTCCCTTTGCTTCCCCCGTCTGGTAGCCCAGCCGCACCCTGCCCTTCCGTCTCCAACTTTCCCCTTTTACCCAGCCCCTTCTCTTTTTCCCTTATCGCACCCCTCCCCGCCAGAACTCCCCCCTCCTTCTTCAATCCTCCCTGCCCCCCTGACTTCCCACCATCTCCCCGCCCCATCAATCCCACCTCCGGCCGGCCCCCTCCTTCCACCAATTGATTACCACGCTCACCTGCGCCCCGCCCAACAGCCTCCCTCTGCTTCTTTGACCGGGGCTCCATCGGCTCCCTCTCCTCCACACGAGCACCCCGTCCTCCCTTCTGACTCCCCCCGACCCCACCCTGCCTATTCCCTTCGCGGCTCCAAACCCCCTGCCCCCCTTTCCCGACGCGGTCACCTTCTGCCGGTAACGCCAGCACCACCTCCCGCCCGAGGCTCTTGGACTCACTCATCCGCTTGTCGCCCCGATCAGTCGCCGACCCCACCGCCACCTTCCCTTTGGTTTTCGGATTTACCCACACAGACTGCGGGAGCGGCGGAGGGTTGAATTGGGCAGGTTTGAGGGTATCTTCCTTCAGCCGAAAGCCCACCTCCGTAGTCACCATCTCCTGGCTAAATCTTTCTTCACCACTTGGATCTGGAAGCACACAATTGCGCTCCATGTGCCCCAACCGCCCGCAGTGGAAGCAGAACAGGGGAAGGAATTCGTAAGCAAAGGTCACCCAGAATTTGCCGGCGACCTCATTGCTAGCCCAAATTTGTGACCGCAGCGGCTGAAGCACATTGATTTTCACTCTGGCTTTGAGGAACTGGTCAGACTCCCCTTTGATTCCAAACAGGCCAACATCCAGGACCTCACCCAACTTCGATTCCGCCACCCTTCGACCGAATGCGATCGTGCGGCAGTGGGAGGGGATCCCCCACATCTGGACCGAGAATGGTACGAAACCAAGGGAGTCAAAAACCTCTTCCGAAACCGGTGACCAGCGTTGGAGATGCAACACCCGGTCCTTGACTGGCCACGGCGTGCGCTTGAGCACCCATTCCATGTCCTCCGTGTCGTCGAACAGAAATTGCAGCAGCCCCATCTCCGCCTCCATCACCTGAACTTTCTTCCTGCATTCCCAAGCACCAGTAACAATCTTGTGAATGACCGCCAGACTCGGCCTGTTCTCAATGAATAGTCTCCCAAGGAGGCTCATTTTCGCCCTCTGCATACTCACAGCTACATCATCAGTGGAGAACTCCACGATCTGGTCCTGGCAAATATTTTGTTCTGCCATTGTTTCTATCTGCCGCTGTTCGGCGATTTCCGTCCGAGGAGCAAGACAGCTAGAAAGAAAGCTCGCCTCACTCAGCCCTTGGTCCAACCGAATTCGTTGTAAACTATCAACCAACCACCCCTTGAAAGTTTTTTGAATGCAGAGGTTGTTGTAGTACTCAAACAGATTTAAAGTCCCCCCAAGACTTCGACCCCAAGAAGGAAACCCGATCGGTTTCATGAGGATAATCCAGGGGGTTAAAGTTTGAACTGCCAGATTCGGGTCTTGGGAATTATCCCCATCCCAACCGCTTAACCAATTATTAGTCAAATAAATCCTCTTACGGATGTCGAAATTAATATTATCAATATTATTTAAATCCCCTTCAAATCGGGTACTCCGGATTTGCCGCCAACAACTCCACGTCAGCTCGATTCCGTGCTCTTCCTCGCCGCGCGTCAGTTCCGTTCGCCGATCACCGCTTCGGCTCCAATTCCTTGTTAGTCTCTGACCACCAGTGGCAAACTTGCCCATTGACATCACCGTTTCATTTTCATGATCCCTACTCAGATCACCACCCTCCGAAGGAGGTTTTCCGCACTGGCCAAACCCAGTATTCATCATCGCAATTACCCCACCCCGTGCGTCTTCCAGCCAACGTTTCTTCGCCGCTGTGCGCATCATAGGGCCCTTGTTCCGCCTGAACACCGCCTCCACCTTGCCCCATAACTCTTCCAAGCTTTTTCTCGCCCAGCTTGCCCATCCTGTTGAGCTCTCCATGGTTTCATCCTTCGAAAACCAAATGGAGAGGAAGAGGAAGTATGCAGTTCCCACGATTTTCCGTAGGAGAGAGGACAGAGCATTCTTCACCATTTTTTTTTTTTTTGTGCGTGCGACTCCCCAACCTAACAAGTAGATGTCTTTTGGGGTTTTCATATTCAAATTATGCTAAAAATAATATTGAAGAAACACAAGAGCAAAGTAGAAACTGAAACAATGGGATGAGGGGAGGCTAACACTTTTCATATAGCATCTTCTTAAGTAATTTAGCAAACGAAAATGCTTGTATCGTTTGATTGGTCTATTAGAACAATTATTTCTCTACTCTTTTGAAGATCATAAGTGATAATGATTTTTTTATGAAATATGTTTTTTCTCTGTTCTTCAATATGTCATTCTATTAACTTGGTGATATATTGTCGAACTATGTTCATACATGATCATTGAATCAATATTTGTGGAGACAGTCAATAAGTCTCTCATATGTGTTGAATCTCAAATCTAAACCAAACATATTCACAGCTTACCTCGTGAATTGTTAAGATTTTATTTTATTGGTAGTTTTTCGGATCGTAGCTTCACAAATAAACAAATAGTCATTTTGTGATTGACCATTATGAGGATGAAAATGGACTTTTGCATCAACATATCACATCAACTATATCTTTGATACACCTAAATAGAACAATCAATATCCATAATTCTTCAAGGGTAACAAAGTAATTGTTTAATCTTAATTATCTTTTTATATATTGACAACAAAATATATTATAGATATTGTTGACTCGACCCTATTAACACTACAACCCCACCTGTAAGCCAAATGCAACCAATGATTGGGTGTAGTATAGCGAATGTAAAGTTTAATTATCAACTTGGGTGGCAAATCTATTATTACTTACGTGAACTAACTTGTTATCTAGCAAATCAATGTTTGAATTTTACTAATAAACTACAAAACGAAGCAAATAAAGTTTGGTTGGAAACTATCAAGAGAAAGTCACTCTGGTGTGCTTCCCACTAGCTACAATTTAGACCGCCGATTGGTGAGTTTAATTTGATCAATACCCAAATTAATTTCATGAAATACATCAATTCTTTATATAGTCAAGAGTTCAAACAAGCAAAAGAAACATTCAATCATTTAATCTAACAAACATAGCTAGAGTTCACAATACTCAAGTGAATAAGGGTCTAGCTCATAGTGAGAGAAAGAGAGTAACAAAAATAAAAGAGAAGAAATCATCTTTGGGGAATGGGTTCTTCCTCTCGATCTTCAATCTCCAATCCTTGACGATGAGATTAACCTCTAATTAATGATGGATTGAAACTCCAACTCACCACCTATTGATCTCCTTCATCACTTTTGTATGAATGGTGGAACTTGTGATTGTCGAAGTATAGTTGTAATAAGAAAATTAATATTTTTGGCAGTGGACTAGTCTCGTTCTTCTTGAACTAGAGAACCAGATAAATTCAGTATAAATTTCATTTTTGCTTGTTTGGTTTCGGTTATCGTTCAGTATCTATTACTAGTGTCACACAAAAAAACTAATGTTTTCATAAGTTTATGATGCAAATTTCATACACAAAATTTTAAAAAGAAAATATATACTGTCATCATAATAGAATATGTAGTAGCCTGTAGCTGTACAATCTATTTACAGTGGAGATATGACAATAAAAACATACGAAAATGTTACTGCATCAGGCGGAAGGATAATGGAAAGGTCGTGTAAGCTCTGCAACTAAACACACGCGTGACACATGGCACGAGTGTAGATACAGAGTCCTGAAGTAGGGGATCATGGAAGCCTGAAATGAGAGAGGGTAGGTTTGCCATCCAACCCTTTGGACCTGAAATGGGCTATGAATTCAGTGAAATGGGTCTCTCTGTAGATTGGTGGGCTTTGAGGAGAGACAAGCTCCTGGGCCGGCCCATAAGCTGTTAGTTTATTTGCGGAGCTTGGGTAGAAAAGGCTTGCCACTGATGTCCTGCACCCCACCTCTTCACTCGGAGCTACCACTCTGTGTTCCGCGCTCTTGAACTTTCCATTTGTAATCAGCTGCAAGATTAAGATTAAGGTTAAGGTTTAATGGAATAAAACATTTTCAAACAACTCGGTTAACGCCTTGTTCAGTTTATTCAAGAATTGTTAAATCGTATTAGAGGTTACAAGAAAGTTTAATGATATAATATTTTGTACTAAAATCGTGATTTGATCGTGGTTCAACCATTTTATAAGTTAAAATCGTCTACTTTTTGGAGTCCGATACATGGTGTTTTGGTCCAACCGAATGGTAGGATATGGTTTCAAAAACATCGGTTTTTTCATAGAATTTTTAGTTTCATGCAATTAAATGTATTTTTATGCAAAAATAAAAATAAAATAAAAAATCATGCCCCCACTTTGAGTTATATTTTCTTACGTAATTTTCACTCTGAGTAAAAATAGCTAATTTGACTATTGTTGAACAAATTGTTCCGGAAAAAATAGAAGACACAGACGATTGTGCTCATTTTTACACGCGACAGAAACATATGCTATAGCTAGATAAAAATTAACATAGATGGGCCAATGAGGAAGTTTCGACAATACTTACAAATTTAGGTCATTTGAATAACAATTTAATGATGACTTGAATTTTCCAAGACTACAACTTACAAGCCCGTTTTGGCACTTTGCATCAAGCATTATTGTTTAATTTATTATATATTTCTGGTTTTTATCTTAGTGGGGTATCGTATATTTTGAGTTGTTTCATACAATATGATAATTAGGAGGATATGTTTCAATGAGTAAGAATTATCAATTATTATTTAAATAAGTTCGTTTTATGAATTTTCAAATTGGAGGATACATATTTATTGGTTTAGTCATTAAAGTTTAGGATATAATAGTATACCCTGAATTTTGATTAAACAGATGTTTTAAATTTAGAGGGTTTTTTTTTCTTTTTTTTTTAATATGAGAGAAATTTGTCAAAGATGGTAAACCCAACCATCCCACCCGGAAACAAAAACCTCACAAACTCTCATAGAAATATTCGAGCAGATAAGATGATCACACAAAACCGCTTCCGAAACATCCAAATCTAAATCCTTACCATCTCTACTAATCCTTAAAAGTCGAGGTTATTCATTTGCTACTTTGATTGACTATTAAATTTGTTTACCTAATTGATTAATTAAATAGTAGTTAATTAACATATACCTGCACGAAATCGCCAATGTTGACAATAAGCGCGCCGGGGAGAGGCGCAACGTTGACCCATTGATTGTGATGATCATTGAGCACCTGGAGGCCGTCTTTGTGGTCTTGCAGCAGAATCGTGAGAAAAGAAGGATCCATATGGTTGGTGGCGCCCAAGGTGAGCTGCGGCTGAGGGCACGGCGGGTAGTAATGGCACAAAAACGACATCGTTTCCGTGCATCCGTTGTCCGACAGGTAATCTTTCCCGAGCCCCGCCGCCTCCGATACCAGCTCCGACAACTCCTTTTTCAGTTCCATCAACTTATCTGTGTACTTTCCCACAGCTTCTCTGAAAATGATCAACGCATAGAATATTTATTTATTAGTCTCTAAAAGGGAAAGGTTACTAGTGTTTTTTTTGTGGGTTTTTAGTGAAATAAGTGTGCAGTTTAGTTTTGTTAATTGATTAATTGAGTTTGATTAACTAATTAATTGATTATTTTTGTGAAAAGTTACCGCCGTTATTAAACAAACGATAGTTTTCACAACATTTAAATTATGGTGCAATTAGAAATCTTCCTGTGTACTTCTCCTTTTTCGAGTTTTCCTTCTCTATATCACAAATACCAAAGTCTGAAAGTTGTTGCTTTCATATTTTGACTGATTCCTTGAATCCAGCTTTCCAATTTTCGTAGAAAGCTTCGTACTTTCTTCTTCCGGTTTTCCTTCTCTAAATGAACTCATTGAATTGAGTGATTTATCTAATTCCTACTAACAATTATAGTGACGGTTAAACAAATCACATGGTGAGTTTTATCGCGTGCCTTCAGTTTCGTGTTTTTGTCTCTATCCCTAGAAATTAATTGGTCTGATTGTTTGTTTTGTTGGCATTAGTGGGAACAAAGCGACGCATAACATTTCTTCAAGTTCACTTGTGTGAATTTTTGTCCATAAACGAAAAGGCTCAATTATTTAGGTTGCATAGTTTCAAAGAGATATGGAAGGGGGGAGATATTTATTTAGCTAGCTTCAAAGAACTGACTGTAGAACAAGTTGTGGTGAAAGAAATGATATAAAGGAAAGGGATACCCTCATTATTGTCATGTGGTCTAATCCGATCAATGAATTGAGCGGATAATAAGGAAATTTGCGGCCCCGACACCAAAAGTGGGACGACGGAACATCCAAAAATGGGTCCCGCCCCGAATGCCATGACCATGACGTAACTGTAATCCATCCATCCATCCATCCGGCTGCACAACTATCATGTCATTAATAATTAAAATACTTGTTTACTTTTCTGCGCTTTCATTCTCTACATAGATAGACGATGGTATATGCATAATTAAGCGCTGTAATTTTTATGGCTGCCAAGGATTTAAATATTGAAAACTCATTGCTGTCGTTAAAATGAGTGATTTGGAGGCATTGATTTGGGGAAGAGGAGGATTTTGGGGTTTTCTGGAAAGAGGATGGACGAGTTGATGATTTTATTTTTAGAAAGAAGAAGAAAATGACAGGAAAATAAATAAGGAGGGCAAAACTGTCTTTTTGGGCTTTCATACATACATTTTTTTTGAATTTTTTGAAAATTGGACCCAAAGTACTCATTAATACAATCCTCCGTCCCAACCATTCATTATGTATAATTTCATGGAACTGGAGATCGAAATAAAAACTATATGATAACAAATATCGAATATTTGGGTGCCCTATGGAGACATGCATGTCACCGTAACTTGCACTTTTTGGTCGACCTAGATTAGGTCGACCAAATATGTTGTTTCAGTGTAAAAACAGTTTCATGGTGCCTACTTTGAAGATTCATATCTTACAATTGGCTTGATGGAAATTGGAGATTAATGGCTTGTTTTAAAGCTAGAGTGTCCCTCTACACATTGAAGTGCTTGGGAGCTCGATAGGAAGTCCAGAAGACCATTTTTTGAACCTGATCAAAAGGCTATGCCAAAAATGGGAAACTGCCTGAAAATGGCTTAAGTCTAGGAAAGTGTTTGTGAAGTCTACTTTGGAGCTCAATTCGAGAAGCATGGATGAGATTCGAGTCTAGAGGCCTCTACCACATGAAAGTAGGTATGTTTGTCTACAAAGTCAAGGCATTGGATGAAATGTTGGATATCTGGAAAGCTTCAAACAAAAGGCTTAAAATTGCTACGAAGTAAGCTGCCTTCTAGCACAAGATTGAAATGTCACCGTAGCAAACTCCCAAAAAATTTCATCTCTTAATTTGTACAATACCCCAAGCTACAAATCCAAATCTATCATTAATTATTCTTTGATTGATTAAGTATAGGCTAGCAATTAGATAACTAGCTAGCGATCGAGAAATTCCCAAGGAAAGAGATTAGAAGATTGTGGGCTAATCATTTACTGTTTGAAAGTGATCTGAAGTCACTCTCTCCATATAAAGGTGACTGGATACTCCAAGAAATAGGTCATCTCAGTTAACAAATTATCATTATAATAATTAATAATGTTCATAAGCGAATAGTTTCAATATCCCAACGAAATTAATCATGCTATCTCAATAAACATGCCATTATTTGAGATCTTATTTTATTTTATTTTTAAGTTAATTCGAGAAACTAGAATTCTTTAATCTAGATATACATGGATGTGCAACGGGTTGGTCCAAACTGTACAAGATTGGACCAAACCGACATTTGTACCAGTCCAAATCATATCGCATATAATATCAGCCTATAGTCATGCAAATTTTGTAACAATAAAAAAATATATCTAATCGATATTTTGACCGTACTAGATCTTACTGAACACAACGACAGTCCAATTATGACAGTCAAATTTCCTATACTTTTAGGCAATGATTTTCATGGTTTGATCCAGTGGCAGAGCCATATTGAATAGGCCGCATCAACTTTCAAATGTATGTAAATTTACGTATAAAATTTATAATTAATTTTAAAAATAAACTAGTTGGAAAAAATTTATCCTCTCTACCAAATAATCATGGTTCAAATTTCACAAATATGATTTTTTTTTCCGGGCAGATTTTTTACTTTACCACTGGTTTGATCCAATTCGGTCTAAGACTGCTGCACTACACACCTCTAACCATAATACTGCTCTCTATAATTTTTTAATATTAGAATCTAATCTGATCGTTGTGGTAACTTGGAAATTCTACCAAACTCTGCTCCCAATCAGAGATCCATTCATTGTTTAATACATATATATTCATCTGGAAAGTGGCAACACTAAAATTTCAACTTATGCTACAATACAAATGCATATAATGTATTCCTACTGGACAATAGTTTAATTCCACAAGAGACAGAACTTTCCATTATTTAAATAACTCTTTGCCTTTAATTAATAATAACTGGAGACCTAAAAGATATAATTTAAAAATTCAAGGAATTGATTTATTGGTAATGTAAAGATGAGAATATTTACTAAGTTTGAATTTTGGGGTCAATAATTATATAAAAATAAAGACATAACCAAATGTGAATTGGAAAATAAGAGAAATTGGATTAGTCACGTTCTACTTAAAATGAAAAATTTTCATTATTAATTAGACGTATTATATTCCTTAATGTTCAGTCAAAATATAAAAAAATACATTCCTTCAAAATTTAGAAATGCTTATTGGAATTTTAACTGTAAATATTAAATAATATACATAATTGCCAAGATATAAACTGTACCTACGGATATTACCTGCAAAGTTGTGGGAAGAGTTGCGGGTCAAGGAGACCATCCTGAAAATCAAAAGCAAGGGTATCCCTCCAGTTCGCCGGCGACTTACTCACAAGCAGGTCCCCATTGCTGAAGTACCTAACCTTTCTCCGGCCATCTCGAGAATACAGCGCCGCCTTTTCCCCCGCCGCCTGCTCGTGGAATAACCTCACGGCGTCCAACATCTCTCCCATGACGGTGGTTGGGATGCCATGGTTGACCACTTGGAACAGACCCCACGTCTCAGCCGCACCGCGAATCTCGCTGACCACCGCCTCTCGCGGCCGCCCCGTCTTCATGTCAATCACCGGAGGTTGGATGTCCGACGACGTCGTTTGCGGCGGCGACTGGCCGCTGTGGATGAAGAAGCGTGGGATGGTTGTGATGCCGGAGTCTACTAGTCCCTTAACCCCGGCTTTGGTTTCCTCGAACGCCATCACGTCTTGCGTTTTATCATATACGTCGTCGTGTGAAGTAGTACTCGCACTGGCACTGGCCATGATTGTGTAATTGTTTTTGCTGTTTATTTTATCTGTGGATATGGATGATTAGGTAGCTGCAGTAGTTTGAGGGTTTTTTTTTGCGGCCTAGAGTGCATTGTTATTTTACTATATATAGGAAGTGGTGACGATGCCGTAGAGGGTGAGGGGCTAGAAGTAAAAGATCATAGTACAATTTTTTAAGGATTGAAATCGATTTTGAATGGGTGAAGGTCTGGTAATTAGCAATGATAAGATTTATTTAATTAAAAATGATAATAGATGATTTTGATTTGTCGAAACATATTAAGTACATCCAATAAGTATGGATATATATATATATATATATATCAACATCATATAATCCTATCTTGCTTATTTATATGTTCATTAAGCTGGTTCCACACGGTAAGTTCTAATACTGTTTTCACGTGTTAAATGTTTTGAGTTGTTAATGGCCCTTAGAGGCATTTCGACGCAGGAGAGAGTGTGGAAACATTTGCCAATTGACATTGTATCTGGTACATCCGATATTTGAGAGAGAATTGAAATCAGAGTGGATATTTGTTATAAGGGAGTCATGATTCGCTTTTGGCCTTTTCGGTTTAGGGTTAAGAGAAGCTATCTATATAAACCTCGTAATCAGGGTTGGAGGACCGCCCCTCCCCTCCTCCCCGATAACTTTGAAAGTTAAGTGTAAACATTTTGAGCATCTTGAGAATTTTGTATAAACTAAAGCTAAAACTATAAAAATGTTTTAGCATCTACTTATGTAAAGCATAAATCATGGCAGTCTAGCCGGCGTGATGCTAGTATAACTCTGGAGGTCAGGGGTTCGAAACATAAAACTAACGATTTTATTTACGTAAGTCCAGACTAAAAGGTTTCTATTTAAATAGAGTCCGAACAACTTCTAAATTCCTAGACTTCAATTTAAAATTATATCAATTAAGTTTTTCAACTTACAAACTTTTAAGAATATTTTTGGGCAGAATGGAAAAATTATTTTTCTAATAGTAAAATAAGATACATTTATTTTTGAAATTTTGAAAATAAGATGGGCTAAATAATAATGAAACACACTATTAATCTAATTGTATATTTTCTAATCTATATTGAGCATGCCATGGAAGAAATGTATTATTCATATTTTAATTTGTGTGAGAATGGAAAGTGTTACACATTATTGAAAAGTATTATTAATTGTTTTCTGTTTATTTTGTGATTTATATTAAACCTATATATCATGCTAGAAAGTTGTAATTTAAATCTTATTTTGAGCTATTTTAATTATATTAAAAGGGTACACTTATCATAATATTTAAAATATTTCTCCTTTTATTATTTGACAAACGTTAACGCCTTTTCAATAATAGAGGAAGACATTCGGTCGCTCGAACGTATAAATTCATACTTAGCCCTTACTTTTTAACCCCCTATGTAGTATGTACTCTATTAAAATATAGTGAAACTAATCTCTTTTTTTTTGGTAGAAAGTGAAACTAATCTCTAATGCTACATAAATCGTTTACATTATTGATTCCCAACTCTGTCTTAACTTGATCCTTATTAAAGGGATTAAAAATGCTCCTCTTAAGGAGCACAAAATTAAAAACAATGCAAAACAATGTTGAAATTGAGAATCGATAATTGGGTGAAAACTTGTCACGAAGACTCACTTTCCACTTTCCAGTCACCATTGTCCTTGTCCATGTCCTATAGATCAACATAACTAATCTACCACTTCACATAGCAACATCACTTGAAACGAAAGTCCACATCACTCACTCCAAACCGACCTTTCACTAATTCACAGGAAGGATTATTAGGAATACACCCGGGGCCGTATGGCGGCTTCCACAATTCCCACAACCTTTCGATTTCCATCTCCTTCACAATTATCACCATATAACTCTCTCTATTTTGTCCTAATTTATCCAGCATAATGGTGGTTCTGGATAATGATAATATATAATAACGAATATCAATCAAATTCAAAGTTGGAATTTGTTTATTCAAAGGATTGTGTCGGAGATAAAAGAAAATTATGGAAAAAAGGAGATAATGGGATGAGCAAATAATTCTTCCCTTGGAAAAACAAAAAATTGGTCGTGGTAGCAGCTCCCTCCCTCGAAATAGCAGCCTGGCTGAAACTTCATTGAAGCTGCTTAACGGATATCAAACTGCCATCCCTTTTCTTACCAAAAAAAGTGCCATCCCTTTCAAGATTTTCATTCATCACTTATAAAATAATGGATGAGTTATTTTCAAGGTTTAAAACACATTTATCATTCAAATTACTAAAAGTGTCACTGTCTTTATATTATACTAAATAATTGTTCATATTTTCATTACTTCTTCCTTTTCACAAAGGTACTCTTGATGTACCTACACAGCGGAAATTGATTTTCTAACGCAATTTTGATGACTTGTAGCTACAATACAATACTTCATTGATAGATACTTAATATGTTTTTTTTTTCAACAATCATCATCCTAGAAAGTACAAAAGATATTCCCATAATGTAATGAAAATTATATACTTGATTACGAATTCAGAAGTTGGAGAAATTTATTATAACGGTATATAAGTTTACTTTTTGTAGTTAAATACTATTTAATATATCCGAACATGTAGCTTCCACATTTAAGGGTTTTAAGGGGCGTATCTATGAATGATGGATTCAAAGGGTTTTGAGACTTTTCTCTTAAAAAGTAGAGGTGGGCAATGGATGAGTTGGGTGGATTGCGATATGAAATTGATTCACCTGTTTATTAACGAGGCAGTACAATTATGACATGTACGTTATCCATTCATATTCTTCTTCGGGTTGGATTGATGGTGGGTAGATGCAGTTTGGTTGTAGGTGAATCCACAAAAAAAATTCTACGACTAGTTATAGGCAATGTGACAGCTAAATTACATGTTTGGACACTCATATTATACAAATCTTTCACGTTTGCCACCCAAATTACTTTTCTTTCTTATTCGCCACTAACTTTACGAATCGTTTCATCGTTAGTCACCAGCCGTCCAATTCCGTTAAAATCATCATACATGACAGTCAACTAAACCTTTTGACTGTTAGTTTGATGACGTGACAATTAAAAAATAATATAATAATATATTAATTTTCAGAACAACATAAACCCGGGCCGCCTCATCCTAACCCACCGTCCCTTTCCATCCACATCATCCTCCCTCCGGCACCTTACCAATCTGACACCACCTCCCCTTACATCGCCGCCGTCTCCTCCTCCACCCCCTCCATTGCCTTCCACCGCCTCCCTCCCCCGGCCACCGTTGTCTTCCCCGAGTCGTCACACCCCGAGTGCCTCATGCTCGAGACATCTCTCTGAGACAGCTTTCGAGATGACCCAATTATTTTGGGTAGTTTTCCCTACTCTCCCCCGAACAATAGTTGTTTTGTTAACCTGATGACGGAAAACTACCCAAAGTTATTGGGTCGTCAAAATATGTATAATCAGAAGCTACAAGGAAATTAAGTTTAATGAATTCGAACTCTCGTGGGCTTCTTAGAGGTCAACGCCAGCAACTCCTCGATCCAAGTGCGGAGGAATATGTATGTATTGCCCGCCTCCACGCGGTAACCGCTAAATCGAATCCTAGCGGCTTTCAGGATCGGGGTATTGTAACTACCATCGTCTGTCGTCTTGGAAAATCTTGTTCAAGACAGCGGCGGAGGTGCTTCCATCCTATGGAGAGAGGGATGGTTTTGTAGTAATGGGTGGCGACGGCGGAGGAGGAAGAGGGCGAGGGCGCCTCTGCTGCTGTGGGGGTAGATTGGTGATTGAAGAATAGTAATCTACCGCCGCCATCGTTGCTAATTCGCAACTCCTCGGCCTTGCCGACTTGCTGTAGCAACAAGGAGAGGGAGAAGGAGACGCCTTACCCTTCCACCGCGCCGCCAATTTTGGAGTCCGGGACCCTCAAGAATTGCGTGATGTGATTGGGTGGGAGGCGTAGCCGTCTGGGAGAAGATGTGGAGAGTGGAGGATGGTGGCGTTGGTGGAGACGGGGATCGTGGCGGCGAATTGGAGAGGAAGAGTAGTCGCCGCCGAATCCGCATTAATCGTGGACAGAATCTGGTCGATTGATGATTCAGGTTATCCTTTGAAGAAGAATCGTCGTCGCCGTACCAGTCGTTGGCGGCGAGATGGATAATAAGTGGTGGTCGAGCAAGTGTACAGAGGTGGGGATGGGCGGTCCAGCTCTAGGAGCGAAATAAAATATATTTTTTTAATTGTCACGTCATCAAACTAACGGTCAATGGGTCTAGTTGACTGCCACGTAGGATGCTTTTAACGGAATTGGACGGCCGGTGACTAACGGTGAAACGATTTGTAAAGTTAGTGGCGAATAAGAAAGAAAAGTAATTCGGGCGGCAAACGTGAAAGATTTGTATAATTTGAGTGACCGAACATGTAATTTAGCCAATTTGACTAACATTTATAATAAACTTCATCTAAATTAGGAACGTACTAGCAATTTAGACACTTTTCAACTTGTGACATGTAAAGTTGTTCTACTGCTCATTCTAATTTTTCTTTTGCTCGTACTAATTTTTCTTTTGCTCGTTAATAAATTAAAGAAAACAAAGTCACTAACCACATATTCGTAGAGACAAGTCTCTTTATGTGTGTGGATATCACTTCTTTGATGGAGGTATCAAATATTTCATTACTCTATCAACCAATTGTGTAACACTTTATGTATGACCTCAATACTACTAATATTTTATACTTTGCATCCCAAATTTTATTGACATTACACAATATGGTAATCAATAGTAGTAGTTCAAAAATATTATCTATTTTTTACCTTTAGAAGTTGACAGTGAGTGTGTGGTGTAGTTTGAAAAAAAAAAAGATGACAATTTGATAGTAAAAACAAGAAACAAACTTCTTTCATCTGAAAGTGGGGTGTGGATCATTCGCGTGATCCGCAACCCAACCACCCGAATAAGTACATATATGAAATTTATAATCCACAATCTACCTCATATCAATCACCCTTTTTTAACAAAAGATAATCTTGTATTGATTAAGAAAGAGATCAAACACATTACCCCCTGGTATACAACTAGAAAATAAAATAAAAAGAACGACACGAGTCGGATACAAAAAAAAAAGGGACCAAGTGGACTACCCTATTGCTATTCCGACCTATAAATCGTACGTTAAGACCATTATGAATTTCCAACAAACAAAGAACCTCCTCATGAATGGCTCCAAAGTGCTTATCATGCAATCGGCTTGGTTTATCTTGCCAATGACCACCTTCGCGTCCCTTTCAAAAAGAACATGCGAGATGCCACAATCCAGGAACCACTGGATGGCCTCGCGGAGGACTAATAGTTCTACTATCGGTGGGTCATCAATATTATCGATATGAAATCCCCTATCCAAGACAATCGACCCACTCCGATCTTTTATAACCATTCCTCCCGTTGAGTGTGATCCATTCCTTGTTGCACCGTCGCACAGGCAAGCGAACAAGACAGGGTTTGAAGCATTCAAGCGCTCAATCTGGGGGGAGCTGAGGTCACTCTGTTAGTTGGTGAACCGATCCATTCCTGGACTTATTGATGATACTATCGCATCAAAGATATAACCTGGAACTGTTTCCCTTCAAAAACAATCCAATTCCTGGATTTCCAAATCCACCAGAGAGTTGCGACAACAGCCATACTCTGATGGGGTTGATTGAGCAGTATCATCAAATTCTTGAGAAAGAGAGGGAAGTTTTGGAAAGGGAGACCTTGGCCTAGATATTGAAGGCCAGTGTGATCCCAAATCGCCCTTCCCACCAGGCATTCAAGAAGGAAATGCTCCATTGTCTTTAAGTCCGCCAATTAAATAGGGCATCTGGGTAACACTTGAACCTCCTTCTCGATCAGAAGTTCTGTGGTTGGGAGAATGCAATTGAAAATTTGTCAAAGAAATATCTTAACCTTTGAAGTGATTGGGAGCTCCCAAATCCAAAATCCAACTTGATATATCCATCCAGCTGGCTGTTTGGTGCCACCTGCCTAGCCTACGATCCATCAGGATCGCTAGATGGTAAGCAGATTTAACAGTGAACACTCTATCACTGGTATCATGCTAGATCAGTGAGTCATCTATATCCTGACCAGGCAGTGAGATTACTTTGATTGCGCCCACTGCCTCTGGTGGGAACAAGTGATTGAGCATCTTCTCATTCCATTTTCCTTCCCCTGGAAACATTAGATCTGCTACTTCCGGATCACTTCCCTCCGGTATCACTTGATGGTATCAAGGGGGAGCGTGCAGATGCAACCTAGGAACCCTGCTGGAATTCTTAATGACAGTTTGTACGATCGTTGCCTACCTGCCAGTGCAACCCTTGCTAGAGAAATTAATGACCATAGAGGATACTCTGCCAGCCCCATGAGGATCTTGAACGAGTTGTATCCGTGAGAAAGGATCTTGTTGGGAAATACTTCCTTTTGTACACCTGGGCCAGGAGGGAATGGGTTTCGTTAAGGATTCTCCACCCAATTTTGGCCAAAAGAGCTTATTTAAAATGCTCAGATCATCGAAAGCTCATCCCCCCCCCCCCCCCCATCGTGCTTGCTCCGACACATATTTCGCCAAGACATCCATCAGATGTGGGACTATCCCTCCTCAACTCCCACCAAAATCTTGCCACGTATTTATCCTAGATGCGACACAGGGTGAGCGTGAGCTTGAAGCAGGAAATTCTATGGAGGGGAAGCGAAGACGTAATTGATTTGATCAATGTGTCCTTCGCTACCCATGATAAAGTCCTCTGCTTCCATCCTTGCAATCATTATAGTAATTTCTACTCCAGGAAACGGAACGTCGCCATTTTTGACAGCGCGATCAGCGTGTGGAGGCCCAAGTATTTTTCATGAACCCCCACCACACCTACACCCAGGATCTGAGCAACATTGTCCTGGTCTGGTGGTAAAATATTCTTACTAAAGCCTAATGCATATTTGGCTAGGTTGATCCTTGGCCACTCAAATCCTCATATTCATTTAGGACCTCGATCACATTCTCAAATTCTCGTACCAATCCTCTGAGGAATAAGTACGAATCATCCAAAAAATATATATGCAAAACACGCGAAGCCCTGGGGTCACCTTGACTCCCGCTAGTTTCTTCTCAGCAATAGCTTTCCAGATGAGTGTCGCACACCCCTCCGTACAAATGACAAACAGTAGGGGGGATAAAGAGTCACCTTGCCTAGTCCCCTCGTTGATAGGAAGAACTCAAACGGTTATCATTCATAAGAACCGAGAAAAACGATGAGTCAAGCATTCCTTGATCCATCTTATCCATCTCGGATCAAAACCCATATTTTCGAAAAGCGCAAGCCACTCTATGATATCATAGGCCTTCTCCATATCAACATTTAGAACCATATAATCCTTCTTAACTTTAGTTTTAATTTTTAGGTAATGCATTCATTCATGTCTTGGTAAGACATTATCCGCAATCTGGCTTTCCCGAATGAAAACATTCTACCCTGGCGAAATAATCTGGGGAAGGAATTGGGCCAACTGTTCAGACATGATTTTGGCAATGATCTTATACACGAATTGACATAATCTTATTGGCCTCAACTATCTCATATTCTCCATATTATCCACTTTGGGAATTAAAGTCAACCAAGTGTGGTTGAAGCTTCACAACATTCATTCCGTTCTAAAGAAGGAGCAAACAAACCGACTCCCCGATGATATCCCAAAAGGATCGGAAGAATTTTCCAGTGAACCAGTCTGAGCCAGGTATTTGTGGACCAAATTGAAAAGACTGTTTGCAAAATTTCAAGAGTCCGGACTTTGACCGTCAATATCTAATTCATATAATTTGTAACTGTCCTATCCATCGCGAGGTCGGCCACACAAGCAGCCGTATTCCCCATCTAAAACTCATAGATGAACAGAGAAATTAATAGCAATGTATGCCTTCCCTTTTTCTCCGTTATCCAGTGCCCATTATCATCAAATAAACCTGCCACCAAATTCCTCTTCCTCCTAGTCTTAGTGACTGTATGGAAGTACAAAGTATTTTGATCACCTTTCTTGAGCCATCTTACCCTAGATTTTCTACTGCCATTAAATTTTCTCTGCCTCCCATTATCGACATAGATCAGTCTCCAGGTCTCGCACCGCATCCCAATTGATGGGTTGGACTTGTTTTATCCGATCTATCTCTGCATTGAGGGTTTTGATATTCCGCAAGGAATACGTCGTGCCCGCTCTACTCCAGTCATACAAGAGGTGGGGGAAATTTTAGAGCATGTACATTGGAGATCATTGAATTTGTTCATTCCACACATAAGTGACCATAGCACGTACCTTCGGATTATCTGCCCAATGAGAATCAAATTAGAAGAGCAGACGACTATAACGAGTGTAGGGTTTATCCGACAATAACAGGGCTCAGTGATTAGATCCCTTATCCGTGAAATGCTTCACTTGAGTGTCTGGGAATTGATCGACATAAGACTGATAATGAAGGGCTCAATTTAGTCTCTCACAAATACAAGCCTGACCCATCCGCTTATTAGTCCTAGTTAACTGGTCACCTTGGTAACCTAGGTCGTGGAGACCCAAATTTTGTAAAAAATCCCTAAGAGCCATTAAACGAGCAAGATTCCACGGATTACCACCGTCCTTCTCATTTTTTCCAGGACCGTATTGAAATCATCGATTACCATGCACTATACTTGGATTTCTTCCCAAAAATATTGCAGGTGCTCTAGCTGGTCAAATCGAGTCGTCTCAATACTCAGGTAAACAAACACAACCTTATAAGAAAAATCGTTCACATGAGGATCTTGAACGGGTTGTAGGCTTAATTAAAATATTGGGTAGGCTTAATTAAAATAATTAGTCTACGTCCCAATAGAATTTTCTAACTTTTCATTTCTTTTGAATTGAGACCTTCCCGTTTCATTTCTTCACATGATGCATTTTGTTTCTTGCAATTTGGAATTGTCATTCCATGTATTGTTTGATCCAAGTAATGCATTGTTTCATGAAAGAAGGCGACTCTTCATGAAATGAAATTGGTGGTTAGATATGGATAATGGCCACATTTGGAATTGGCAGTTAGCCACCAAAAGTTTCAATGAAGCAATACAATGCTTCGGTTATTGTCTCTATTTATAAAGGGATCGGTTTTTGTGAAAGGACACACACCAAAAAAATTCATTCTTTCTTCCAATAAATCCTCCAGGTAAACTTTAGGCTCTAAAGCCCGAAACCTAAAATGTTGATATTTTTATCCTACGAAGAAATTTTCTATAACCCAAGGCTTTGTAGAGGGTAGAAATATTCTTTACGCAAAGTGAACATAGTTCACGACTCTATCATAATCCTAGTCACCCAGTCTTGGGCTATCATACGTGTACCCTCGTCCCTAAAGTCCCAATAATCGTAATGAATAGGCTCCGGTACGATGGCTCAACCGCTCTTTACAAGCAACCGGCTCCGGTCTACGGAAAATTTGAGAATTTTCGGTGATGAGTATTTCATCGATGGTAGTAGAAGATGTGTTTTATTCGTACTAGTCTCATGGTGTATTCCATATCCGGAAGGTAACTTGGAAGAGGGATGATTCGAAGATGCGGAAGAAGGCGAATGCTTCGTAAAATAAAGAAATAAGAGAATGACAACTACCTTTGTGTAGGTCTCTTACTCAATGGTGTAATTTATCTGATTCTCTATTTTGACATTTCCAAATTCTTAGACAAATTTGATTTCTCTAAGTGGTTTGATGGTGTAATTTTTTCTAGTGGTTTATGTTATTTTAAACCAAAGAGAGAAAAGTGTATATAGAATGTTTGATGATTCTGGTAATAGAGTCGTCATATGTTTGTATGTAGATGACATACTTATCTTTCGGACCAATCAAAATAATGGACTTTATGGAGAAAAAATTGTCATTTTAAACTTCCCAAGGGGACGTGGAGAGACAAATGTGGTTCTGTGTATTGAATCAAGCGAAATGACAAAGAAGATACCTTCCTTCAATTTTTCTGCATCCAGAAGGTGCTTGCTAAATTCCATAGTGGAAGTTATCGTGAGTTAAAAAATCCAATGAATCCAAGTATGGAACTTATTGTTAATACTGGCCAACCAGTTTTATAACTGGAGCATTCCATGTTAATTGGGTGCTTGATGAATGCAAGACCAGATATCGTATATGCGGTATGACATTTAAGTCGGTATTTGAGTAATCATAGTGCTCATCATTGGCATGAAATGATGCATGTACTAGGAAATCCTAAGGCACATTGCATTATGGAATGACTTATAGTGGATTTATTAATGTTAGTTGGATTTCTCATGTTAAAGGTGATACTTTAACATCGTGATGAGTCCTCTTGCTTGACGGAGGTGCCATCTCTTGGATCTGTAAAAAGCAAACTTACATCATTGGTTTCACTATACAGTCAAAATTGTGTAATGGTTGAGAGGATTGGTTTATGATATTCGTTCATGGCCTAAACAAATCTCACTTTATTACTATCTCTTTGTAGTAATGTTACTTTGAATAAGGCATATAGCCAAGTGGAAAGTGGGAAGTACGGTCATGTCGGATTTATGCAAGGTAAAATCTATGAATTGATCACTCATAGATTTGTGTAAGTACAAATATGACCGGACTAGAGATAATTTAGTTGATCATTTGACGAAATGATTAACTAATGACTTGGTGGTCAAGTCTGTAAAAGGGATGAGTTAAAAGTCCATATAATTTCTAATAATGGGACACCTAATTCCCCTCTAATACAACGTTAGAGGCTGAATTCAATGTGGAAAGCTCATTATCATAAATTGAAGCACACAATTTGTCGTCCCGAAGTATATGCTTGTTATCATGCATGAGAGAAGAGGATGAAGTTCAAAACTTCTTAATTGAATATTTGAAAAAGTGTATTATGCGGGTACACGAATAAGAGATTCAACCTACATAAGCATGAGGTGTAACCGCTTGAAGAAACCCAGACTTTGGTTTCGTGGGCGCTTATGAGAATGATTGGACATATGGCGAGTAATAGTGTCAAGGCACTTAGAAGTTTGTAAAACTTAAGTGTATATTATCTTCGAATATCCATATGAGTAGATAGGTTCAATCGTTACCGACACCCAAATATTTGGATATTCGTCAAGTGTAATATACTAAGATGAAAATTCAATCATCAAGACATTTTCATTTATGCTTTAGTTTTGTTGAAGGATGTTTTAATTTTAGTGGATTCTTGGAATACACTAAAATGGGGGAGGAATGTTGGAAATTTGGTTGAACCAAAATAACTGGGTCAAACCGGTTTGGGGTTAGACTAAGTTGGTTAAATTATTGGGTAGGCTTTATTAAAATAATTAATCTACGTCCCAATAGAATTGTCTGATAGACCATTAATTACACATGTTTTTACCCCTATTCTTTAGCCGTTTGAGACATTGATTCTCGTGTTTTAAGCCGATTTCACGCTAGGTTGTGCGTTTATGTAATATTTCAGGGCTTAGCGTTGGCATCAAGGCGAAAGAACGAGATTCGGGTCGAAAGGAGCATGTGAGGTTTGAAGTGTGCTGGAGAGCAAAAATACCCGGCCACGATCAGAAATACCCTGCTGAATATTATTTGACGACGACCGGGGATCTGACGCATTGGGCGTCTTTGAGAAACAGAGGGGGGCTCGGGCAGGAGGCAAAAATCCCCGGTCGGAGATTCTTGGCAATGACCGGGGAATTCCCCTTGTTACCCGACGGTGCGTTTTGCACATACCCGGTCGCCACCCAAAATATCCGACCGGGTATTTGGGCCGGGGATCGCGACAAACAGATTCATAAGGGAAAAGAAGGCTAAAAATCAAAGGTTCCGAATTTTATAGAGACATAGCGATTCCTAGATAGAGAGAGCGACGAACCAGAGTTCCCAAGTGCCCTAGCTTGATCTTCATCACCATTGGAGCTCCGCTCACACTTGGAGAAGTGCCGATTGACGACCAGGAGCAGAAACCCATCCTTCATAGTATGGTTTCCGCGTCTGAACTTGCTTTTGCTTCTCTCTCCATGGAGTAACTTCCTCATTCATCTGGGTATGGAGAACCCTATATTTGTATGTTAGGTCTGATTGTATGAACCCAAGTACAGATTCTATGATTTGATTATATTCAATTGAGGTTTGAATGATTGAATGACATGAATCCTGATCAAATTCCTGGTGTTTCCTGCTTTAACCTAGAAAGAGAATATCTGCCTAGGTTGATAGAGCACCCTTAATTGATGGTAGTGAATTGGCGACTTTAGTCGAGGAGCCAATTCACTATTCTGTACCGAATTTACTTCGGTAGTGGAGGTTTGGTTCGTTAGGGCCTCAATCTGTTTACTCCGGTGGAGGTTAGTCGCCCGCTGGGGACTCATATTGAGAGGGTCTGGAGACCTTTAGTCGAGACTTCAGACTGCTTAAGAACCTCCCACAGTATAACTATCAGTAAAACTGAACTTGGTAAATTGCAATCCGGCTTAACTGCAGTCTAGGGGGAACCATATCCGGGTGACCTCTCTCGACTTGAAAACAACCGTTTAATTGCTTGCTTGTTTGCTTGTTTGAACCTGCACTAAAGTTTCACCGCTAAATAATAAGAATTCGCTGAGTAGTCATCACATCTAGGACCCGGGTTGACATTAAAACCCAAACCCGCTATACTACGCTTTAGGAAGTGGTTAAACTTGACCATTTTCTAGAGTAATGGTAGGAGCGAGTCAAGTTTTTGGCGTCGTTGCCGGGGACAGCTAGGTTGTTGAAGAAACGTGAATTCTGTTAATTTAGCTTTTCGTTTTAGCATTGTTTGCTTTGTCCCACTTGTGCCTTCACGGGTTTGCTGCTTGACTGTGTGCAGGTAGTGCATGACCTGTAGCCAGTCGGGAGGTTTACTGCCGTTGGATCCGGAGCTTGAACGCACCAGCAAGTGGATTTCAAAGAGGAGTGGCGGCCGAAGCAGCTGGTGGCTAAGCCTGCACGGAAGAAAGGTGGAGACCACTATGAGCTGGTTCCACCTCCTGCACCACGACCACCCTGGCCATCCGAGTACTCACTCGCCTGCATCTTGCCGGATGGCTAGGTCGAGCTGACCAATGCTGGTGGTCGCACCCGTCTGGTGCATGGCCACAATCTGAAGCTATACCTCAAGAGCGATGTGGATCCTCTCTTGGAGGCGTCCGTTCCTGCACCCCGCTGAGTATCCACCATGGGCGTCCAGCTAAAAGACGGTAAAGAAGCGCTTGTGGGGAGGCAACCCCACCACGGTTTGCATTTCTTTTTCCCTTTTTCTGTGTTGTTGTGTCGTGTTGAGTCAATTGCATGTCTGTGTTGAAGTTAGGTCGTCAGGAATATCTCGGTTTGGTGTTTTCGTGCAGGAGAGGTTGAAATTTGGGAGAATGGGAATTTTGGCCGGAAAGGTGAAATACCCGGTCGTGAGCCAAAATACCCGACCTGGTATTTTTGGCCCAAGGCCGGGGATTTCCCAGGATTGTAACGCCGCATTTCAGAGACCCCCGACCTGGACCCAAAAATACCCGACCGGGTAATTTTGGCTCAAGGCCGGGGATTTCCAAGAGCATGAAACGCGACGTTTTACAAAAAACCGGTCGTGGACTCAAAATACCCGATCGGGTATTTTTGAGTCCCGACCGGTGATTTTTGCTATTTAAGCAAACCCCCAGTCAGTTTTCTCTCTCTACCCTCATTTTTTCCAAATTTTCCCTCTCCTCCTCCACAAACCCTCTGCCTTCTCTCCTCCTTTGCCTCCCGCCGGCCGCTCCACGCCGCCGCCTGCCGCCTCCTGCCGATTGACCGCCGTCGCCCACCGCCGCCCGCCGCGGCCGCCGCCCCTTGTCACCGGTCACTTTCCAGCGACCTTCCGGCGGGTTTTCCGGCGACTCTCGGCCAACTTTCCGGCGAGCCTCCCGGGTCATTTTTTACCCTTTTTCGCGTCCCTCACCCGTTCTTTTTTGCATCCTAACTACAGTTCTACTTGAGTTTCCAGGTGTGCTTCTTGTTTACTACTCTTTTTCTGGAAAATTGAACTGTAGATTGTAGGATCGAGAACTGTGATTGCCTGACATGCTTGAATTAGAATAGGGTGAGGGATGCCTTGTGTATGATTGGTAATGGCTATTGTGTGTGTGCTGCCTGGATGATTCAATTGGTGGGTTGTGTTTGCTTCTTGCCTTGATTACGGTTGAGTTGCTTGCAATTCAACTAGTTATGCTTAAACTGCTAGCCTAGGTGATCCTTATGTGTGGGGGAAGTAATGAACCCATACTGTTGGTCCTGACAAGTTTTTCTTGGATCCACCTTTGGTTTGCTAATTTTGCAGGAGAATGTCACTCGACCATCCATTTGTGCAGGACCTGAGCCTGCACCGGGATTACGCGGACAAGTTCCGCAAGGTTATCCGGGGGAAACTTGAGCGCCACCACCATCTAGAGTGGGCAGTTTTCGAGCAGCTCCCCTGCATAAAGGAGCTCTCCTCCGCCATCAGCCACCGGGATTGGCGGACTTTGCTGACGATCGAGGAGCCCACCTACATCGAGCTGGTGTGGGAGTTCTACACCACGTTCCAGTACCGCCCCAAGTCGGCCCGGGACTCCTACGCGGTCACATTCAGGCTGGGTGGCCGCCCACGGGAGCTGACTATAGATGGGGTGGCCTACGGCATGGGGATCGAGTACCACCCGTTCTCCCGCCACGAGGTCGAGGTCCCAAACCTGACAGACTGGAACATGGATGAGTTCTACCGGCGGATAGCCCGGCGCGCCTATGGGTACGACTACTTTGATGCTGGCCAGAAATCTGTTCGCACCCTGAAGCCGCAATGGCACATTCTGAACCTGCTCATCACCCAATCCATTGTCCCTAACGTCACTGGCTCCCACAAGATCCCGAAGCGGGTACTGTACGCCATGTACTCGATGGGGGACCCAGATCACATGCTGCATTTGGGTTCCTTCGTGGCCACCACATTCTCTCGATGCCACGGGAAGCCCAACTATCTCTTTTGTGGTCCCCTGATCACCCGCTTGGCGCGCCATTTCGACATCAGCTTCGATGGCCTCACCGAGTCTACTATACGGGATGGCTCCACCCCCCTCAGCCGAGACGTGCTCCACAATGCACTCCTCATGGCTACTGACGGCACCCGCTCCTGGGTAGATGGGCTATCCATGCCCCCTGAGGAGGATGCGGATCTCGATGAGGACGAGGAGGATGCTGATTACACCGGCGAGGGGGAGGAGGATGATGATGATGATGGCGGGGCCATGGATGCTGATGAGCCGGAGCCCCCACTCTCTCCACCAAGGGACCTTTGGCCACGACGGAGATTAGAGAGAGGCGAGTCCTCCTCCGGTCCTTCTGTTCCGTCGATGGCTTCTTGCCCGTCGTTGGACTTCTTCACAGAGCAGTTCCAGCAGATGGGGCTCCAGTTCCAGCAGCTCGGCCTTCAGTACCAGAAGCTCATGGACCATCAGGTCCAATTTTACCAGTAGTATTCGGCCCACCATGCATAGTACCAGTCCAGGATGACGGTCGTCGACGAGCGCCTCGACCGGATTGAGGCCCAGATGGAAGTCACTGGTGCTCTCATCGAGCGGGAGCGGGATCGTTGCCGCCGATAGATGGAGTACTCGAAGCACCTGCTCCAGACTTGTCACCCACCGGAGGAGCACCACTGGACCACCCAGTGGGATCACTCGCCACCGTGACCATCATCACCACCACCACCAGAGGGGGTCGACGATCTCATGGACCATATTGACTTCACCGAGCTCGAGTAGGCTGTACTCGTAGCCCCATTTTGTGTTGTTTTCCATTCTGTCAGAATGCAAACTGTCTTGTGTGTTGGTTTATTTTCTTTTCTTTCTTTTGATTTTGGATGATGTACTATTGGACTGACCATTGGACCTAACGTACTGTGTTTGAGTTCTTTTGTTCCCTTTAGCTGTGCTTTGTCCCTGACTGGTCCTTCTCCAGTCCGCTTCACTCAGACTAGTCCCTTTCCAGTCTCATGCAGTCCGTGCACACCGGTAACATCGTTCCCCTTATCCTTCCCTCTTCTCCATTGAGGGCAATGTCAATCTTAAGTGTGGGGGGATGTTTCTCTTTTGACTGCATTAGATCTGTTTGTGTGCTTGGAGCCTAGTCCACTGTCCAAATTTTTACATTTGAGGGCTCCAAGTACGTGTTTCCTTGAAAATTACCTGCTCAGTATGCTTTGAATTGACAGTCTCTATAGTAATGTGCAACCTAGGGAGGTAGTGTAGCACTATGGAGGATGTTGAAGTATAAGATTTTTCCTATCTAGCTCTCTGCTGTGCCAGTTGATTTTGTGAATTAGTGGAGATAGGACCGTTGAATTCATGTGATATTGGTGACTCTATTTGGATTGTGTTGTGGACTCGTGTATCGAACAGGGTGCTCATGTGAAAAATGAAATGCAGTTGGTCCTCCATGTCAAAATCATTAAATCTTAAACAGAGGGTAAGCCCAACGTGTGCGACACCGTTCATTGCACAAAATCGGGGTTTGGAAGAGATTTTAGTGATCCTTAGTGGGGTACTCCTACAAGGTGAAGCTAAGCCGTCTCTAGTACAAGTAAAACTTCCACCCGTTGAACGGTTTGCCTACTTGAGGATGTGTTTTTAATGGCACGGATAGAGCTTCCGACCCCCCTTAATTTCATTGACCCTCCACACGAGTTGAGGAAAATGAGTTAAAAGAAGTACTCTGGCGAGCGCCAGATGTACAGAAATTGCTCTTGCTCGACTAATAAGGGTCGACTTTGCAAAAGACTGCAGTTGGAACCCCCGCTAAGTGAATGAAATGAAAAAAAGAAAAACAAATAAAGTGAAAGTGAAAAAGGGTTCCAACGGTGAAAGGAAGTGAAAAGAGCACCCCGGTAAAACGAGTCCTTGGTTGTGAATGATATGAGTCTCTTTATCCATGAACTGACTGTCTTACTTCTACTTTTTCTCATGATCCTGACTTGAGTCTAGTACTTGCATTGAGAGAGATAGGGAATGTCTTAGAAGACCAGTTGACCTCGTAAGCTGCTATATGATCTAGGAAATCCTCTACCGACGATTGGGGTTGTTTGTTGCTATAGAGGTCTGGAGAGTTGCATTGGTTTGAGTTAGGTTTGCTTGGGGACAAGCAAACGGTTAAGTGTGGGGGAGTTTGATAGACCATTAATTACACATGTTTTTACGCCTATTCTTTAGCCGTTTGAGACATTGATTCTCGTGTTTTAAGCTGATTTCACGCTAGGTTGTGCGTTTATGTCATATTTCAGGGCTTAGCGTTGGCATCGAGGCGAAGGAACGAGATTCGGGTCTAAAGGAGCATGTGAGGTTTGAAGTGTGCTGAAGAGCAAAAATACCCGGCCATGATCAGAAATACCCGGTCGGGTATTATTTGACGACGACCGGGGATCTGACGCTTTGGGCGTCTTTGAGAAACAGAGGGGGCCCGGGCAGGAGGCAAAAATCCCCGGTCGGGGATTCTTGGCCATGACCGGGGATTTCCCTCTGTTACCCGACGGTGCGTTTTGCACTTACCCGGTCGCCACCCAAAGTACCCAACCGGGTATTTGGGCCGGGGATCGCGACAGACAGCTTCATAAGGGAAAAGAAGGCTAAAAGTCAAAGTTTCCAAGTTTTAGAGAGAGAGAGCGATTTCTAGAGAGAGAGAGCGACGAACCAGAGTTCCCAAGTGCCCTAGCTTGATCTTCATCACCATTGGAGCTCGACTCACACTTGGAGAAGTGCCGATTGACGACCAGGAGCAGAAACCCATCCTTCACAGTATGGTTTCCGCGTCTGAACTTGCTTTTGCTTCTCTCTCCATGGAGTAACTTCCTCATTCATCTAGGTATGGAGAACCCTAGATTTTTATATTAGGTCTGATTGTATGAACCCAAATACAGATTCTATGATTTGATTATATTCAATTGAGGTTTGAATGATTGAATGGCATAAATCCTGATCAAATTCCTGGTGTTTCTGCTTTAACCTAGAAAGAGAATATCTGCCTAGGTTGATAGAGCACCCTTAATTGAAGGTAGTGAATTGGCGACTTTAGTCGGGGAGCCAATTCACTATTCTGTACCGAATTCACTTCGGTAGTGGAGGTTTGGTTCGTTAGGGCCTCAATCTGTTTACTCCGGTGGAGGTTAGTCGCCCGCTGGGGACTCAGATTGAGAGGTTCTGGAGACCTTTAGTCGAGACTTCAGACTGCTTAAGAACCTCCAGCAGTATAACTATCATTAAAACTGAACTTGGTAAATTGCAATCCGGCTTAACTGCAGTCTAGGGTGAACCATATCCGGTTGACCTCTCTTGACTTGAAAACAATCGTTTAATTGCTTGCTTGTTTGCTTGTTTGAACCTGCACTAAAGTTTTACCGCTAAATAATAAGAATTCGCTCAGTAGTCATCACATCTAGGACCCAGGTTGACATTAAAACCCAAACCCGCTATACTACGCTTTAGGAAGTGGTTACACTTGGCCATTTTCTAGAGTGACGGTAGGAGCGAGTCATTGTCCAACTTTCATTTCTTTTTAATTAGGAACTTCCCGTTCCATTTCTCTCTGTGATACATTTTGTTTCTTGCAATTCAGAATTGTCATTCCCTGTATTGTTTGGTCCAAGTAATGCATTGTTTCATGAAGGAAGGCAACTCTTCATGAAATGAAATTGGTGGTTAGATATGGATAATGGCCAAATTTGGAATTGGTAGTTAGCCACCAAAAGTTTCAATGAAACAATAAAATGCTTCGGTTTTTGTCTCTATTTGTAGAGGCATCGGCAGTTGTGAAAGGACACACACCAAAAATATTCATTATTTTTTCCTATGAAACTTCTATGTATGCTATAGGTTCTTAAGCCTGGAATCTTAAGTGGTGATAGTTTGATCCTACGAAGAAATTTCCTATAACCCAAGGCTTTGTAGAGGGTGAAAATATTCTTTACATAAAGTGAACATAGTTCACGACTCTATTATAATCCTAGCCACCCGGTCTCGGGCTATCGTACGTGTTCCCTCGTCCCTAAAGTCCCAACATCCATCTCATGAAAGGTTCTCTTCCGATTATCCATTGTTGGGTTCTCCATGTTCGACCAATATTCATACGCCTCCAGGGTACATCACCTCCCTGGCCTGATCCCACACTTGGAGGCTTCCTCTCCTTCTTCTCTACATCAGTGACACCCTTTTCAAGGGCTTCCACATCCCGCCCCACTCTTCCTTCACCTGACAACCTAATGGACTCCGACTCCAAGGATGCCTTTTGACACTCCAGCTCGAACTAGTTAGCATCCACCTTCGGAAAAAGGGTTATCATCACCTCTCTCTGATATAGTGTCCTCGAAGTCCATCCCATATGAAATCACATGACATCCCTCCATCTAGTGCGAGTACGGAGAAGAGAAGAGGCCATCCTACTCAACATTGAAGAGCGTAGCTGACTCTTCTATCGTCCTGCACTAGACATTCGAAGGGCTTCATTTTGTTTGGGTGGCGCTTTGCCTTGCCCGGTTTCAAAGAAGAGCTCTCATAGCCATTCTCCTAACTCTATCTCATCCTGTATGCCTCAGTAGTGGGGCACCCAAAATGCTTCTGCATCCCTCGTCCTGCAGTAGTCATTCAGTTATTCAGGTTCTGTTCTGTAGAAGTGCTTTTGCATCACTCCTTCTTTTCCCTTCCGCATTATGAGGTTTTCTCTCTAAATTCATCCCCTTACAACAAGCAACATGTAACTTTGGAGATTTAGTTACCAGGAAGCCGCGAGGACTTCCTCCTCCCACTTTCTTGTCCTCTACAAGTTTAACTCGGTACAGCGAGTCCCCAAACGGCAGTCACTTTGGTGGTGATCTTTTCCCTTCCTCCACAGCCTGCTTCTATTGGTCCTCCTTGGAGCGGCAATTCTCGAATCAACATCTTTCCTTTCTAACTAGTCCAGATTACGATATACTGAGTTTGAGTACCCTTTGAATGTGCCTTGTTCATCTCCTTCACCATAAATTTTATCTCTCGCGATCTTGGTTGATATGTGGGGTTCAAATCTCTCCTTTCCTACAGCCGGCTCAAAGCTACACGCCAAGAGTGACAAACTCATCAACATCTGAAACAAAAGGTGGGAAAAAATTCATTATTTGGTATCCAAACCAATGGGGTTTGTTATTTGAGGTGGAATTTCCTCTCTTTACCCTTGAGACGGACTATAACGACATATTTGTTGTCATGGATCCCTTGGGGTTTGTTATTTGAGGTGAAATTTCCTCTTTTGTCATTGAGACGGACTATAACGACGTATTCGTTGTCATGGATCTCAAAAACCAAGAATTTTTAGAACTCTTATTTTGGTCTAATACCCTTTCTCTACTTAGATTGGAGACACAATCTGATTGACCACCTGCATCCTCCATTTCTGTTCGGTGTCGATTCATCGTTATTTAAATTTTATGGTGATCGGAGTCTTTTCCAGTTACTACCCATAATATTAATTATCCATATTTTTATTAATTAATTCCCTATATGTTAGTTTAAGGGCTAATATCTAATTAAATCAAATTTTTAATTCTAAATTGATTTCCAATTAACAGTGTTAAAAAAAAACTTGCCCAGCCCCGTATGAACTCTCAAGGGATTTGATTAATTAACTTGAATTTTATATTAGTGCTCCTAAATAATCTTCGTATGCTTAAGGTAGGCTCTTCCATTTTTATAGTATTTTCGGTTACTAATTTTTAGGGTTGGGACTAATTTCTCCCAAATTAATTTGTTTCTCCCTTGGATTCAGTAGAGCGAGTGAATTGAAAATGCCCAGCATAATACATGTCATCACTTTGCTCTCTTTCCTCTTTTGACGAATATTCTTTCAATCGACATTATCAATGGGCTTTAATTCCCTTATTTAGTTTCCAATGTTGATAGCTCACAATTTTCTCGATCAAATTAATCGGCAACCCAATTTATTTGAGGTTTAATTTCCCAGCATAATCAAGGGGGGCATTAAGTGTTTTGTTTGACCATCTTAAGAAATATACCATTTATTTCTGCTAGAGAAATTTGGTGAGTAAGTACTGACTTTTGGGTTTTCGAAGTTCAGGCACTTAATAACTTTGTTTCTTTTTTGTATATTCAATTTGGATTTGATTTAGCTTTTGAATTTTTACTATTTACAAAAAAAAAGTGGAGAAACGCTCTCGCCTCTCTCCTCTGTTTTGGCCTTCTCCTCGGCCGCCTGTTCGTCGTTGCTGTGAAGAAGGCTCTTGATGCTAGCCTGCGCAACCAAGTCCAGGGAAGGAATAAACAAGGGTTGGCATGAACCATTGCGAATCAAACAAACCAATCAGTGACATATCCCAGTCGAGGCAACTCTGGGAATGAGGCATGTTCTTCCGATCGGCAAGACGACCCCCGATCCCTGCACAAAGGGAAGAAGCGGAAGTTTTTGTGTTTTGATTTGGAGTGTGATATA